ACCTTCTTGATTTGGTTTTCAGCTTGATTGTTATTGGTGTATAGAAATGACACTCATTTCTGACTGTTGATTTTGTATTCTGAAACCTTCCTGAATTCAATTATCAAGGCTAAGTATTTTTTTGGAGGACCCGTTAGGGTTTTCTAGGTTTAAGATCATATTGTCAGTGAACAGAAATAATTTGACTTCCTCTTTTCCAACTTGGTTGCCTTTTATTTCTTTCTTTTGCCTGATTGCTCTGGCTAGGACTTGCAGCACTAAATTGAATAGGAGTGGTGAAAGTGGGCACTCTTATCTTATTCCAGTTCATAGGGGAATTGTTTTCAACTCTTCCCCATTCAATATGATATTTTCCATAGGTTTGTTGCATATGGCCTTTATTATTTTGAGGTATGTTTTTCCTACTATTCCTAGTTTATTGAGAGCTTTTATCATGAGGGGATGTTCAATTTCATCAAATCATTTTTCTACATCTATTGAAATGATTATGTAATTTTTGTCTTTAATTTTGTTTATGTAATGAATCACATTTATTTGAGCCATCCTTCTATATGTTGTATATGTTGAACCATCCTTGCATCCCTGGAATACAACCCACTTGGTCATGGTGTGTTATGTTTTTGATGTGCTGGTGGATTCAGTGTGCCAGGATTTTTGTTGAGGATTTTGCATCTATCTTCACCAGGGATATTGGTGTATAGTTTTTGTTTGTTTGTTTGTTTGTGCTCTTGTCAGATTTTGGTGTCAGAGTAATACTGGCTTCATGAAGTGAGCTAGGGAGAATTCTCTCCTGCTCAATTTTTTGGGAACAGTTTCAACAAAATTGGAACCAGTTCTTCTTTGTATGTTTGGTAGAATTTGTGAGTACAACTTGACCTAGGCTTTTGTGTGTGTGGAGGATTTTTGTTATTGGTCTTTTCAGGACATCTAGTTCTTCATGGTTCAGTCTTATGAGGTTCTGTATTTCCAGGAATTTATCCATTTCCTCTAGGTTTTCTAGTTTGTGAGTGTATGGTAGAGTCTGATGATCTTTTGTATTTCTGTGTTATCAGATACAATGTTTTCTTCATTTCTCATTATGCTTATTTAGATATTCTTTCTTCTTGGTTAGTCTATATAGCAATTTATCAACTTATTTGTCTTTTCAAAGAACTGAGTTTTCAATTCACTAATCCTTTTATTTAGTTTGGTCTCCATATCATTTCATTTTACTCTGATCTTTGTTATTTATTTTCTTCTGCTAGCTTTGGGTTTTTTTTTTTTTTCTTGTTTTTCTAGTTCCTGGAAGTACAATGTTAGGGTATTAATTTGTAATCTTTCTATTTTGTTGTTGTTGTTGTTGTTGTTGTTTTGATGTAGGCATTTGATGCTGTAAACCTCCCTTTTAGCACTGCTTTGGCTGTATCCCAGAGGTTTTGGTATATTCTGTCTCCATTTTCATTTGCTTCCATTTTTAAAAAATTCTTTCTTAATTGTGTCATTGACCCAAAGATTATTCAGGAGTGTGTTAATTTCATGTATTTGTATAGTTTTGAGAATTCCTCTTGATGTTGATTTCCAGTTTTATTCCATTGTGTTCTGAGAAAATACTTGATGTGATTTCAATTTTTTCCAAATTTATTGAGGCTAGTTTTGTGACCTAACATATGGTCTATTTGGGAGAGTGTTTCATGTGCTGATGAGAAGAATGTATATTCTAAGGTGTTGGATAGAATGTTCTATCAGCGTCTACTAGGTCTATTTGGTCTAAAGTCCAGTTTAACTCCTGTGTTTCTTTCTTGATTTTCTCTCTCAGTGATCTGTCTAGTGCTGTGACTGGGGTGTTCAAGTCTCCCAATATTATTGTATTGTTGTCTATGTCTTTCTTTAGTTTTAGTAACATTTGTTTTATGAATCTGGGTACTCCAGTGTTGAATACATGTGTATTTAATATTATTATATCATTTTGTTGAATTGATATCATTCTTTATCATTAGGTAATGACCTTTGTCTTTTTTTTACTGTTTTTGATTTAAAGTTGGTTTAATTTTTTATAAGTATAGCTACTTCTACTTGCTTTTGGTTTTCATTTTCATAGAATATCATTTTCCACCCCTTTATCTTTTTTTTTTTTTTTTTTTTTTTTTTGTCTTTCGAGATGGGGTCTTGCTCTGTCATTCAGGCTGGAGTGCAGTGGCATGATCTTGGCTCACTGCAGCGTCCACCTCCCAGGTTCAAACAATTCTCCTGCCTCCTGAGTAGCTGGGATTACAGGTGCACACCATCATACCTGGCTAATGTTTGTATTTTTAGTAGAGATGGATTTTCTCCATGTTGGTCAGGCTGGTCTTGAACTCCCGACCTCATGATCCTCCTGCCTCAGCCTCCCAAAGTGCTGGGATTATAGGCATTACCCACCACACCCTTTGTCTTTAGTCTATGTGTCTTTACCAGTAAGTTGAGTTTCTTGTAGGCAGCATATAGTTGGTTCATTTTAAAAATCTATTCTGCTTATCTATATCTTTTAAGTGGAGTATTTAATTCACTTACATTTAAGGTTAATATTGATACATGAGATTTTCTTCTGTAAAGATGTTATCACTAGTTGTTTTATGGATTCTTTGTTGCTTCATTTTTTTTCTTCTGTGTCTTTGTGATTTGGCTCTGTTTTGTTTTTCTTTATGCTATGCTACCTCTAGGCTTGTAGAACAACTAAGGTTATCCTTAATAATTTCTACTGGCCCATTTGTTCCTAGATTTATTTGCCTCTTTATCCTTGGGCATAAGCAGAAAGATTTTTTTTTTAAATGCATTATCCACTGGCATATAGTATATCTCCATTTTAACAAAATCATGACCATCTTTTCCTAACTAGAAGATTTTTTACTGGTGAGTCACCCCTTGCAAGTGTGTTTTTTACTAATTTTACTAATTGACTTACACTGTAATTTTTTTTTTTGAGACAAGGTCTTGCTCTGTCACCCAGGCTGGTGTACAGTGGCACTATTTTGGCTCACTGAAGCCATGAACTCCTGGGCTCAAGTGATCCTCTAGCCTCAACCTCCCAAGTAGCTGGGACTAGAAGTGTGTGCCACTATACCCAGCTAATTTTTAAATTTTTTATAGAGAAGAGGTCTCACTGTGTTGCACAGACTGGTCTCAAATTCCTGGGCTCAAGTAATTTCCTGCTTTAGCCTCCAAAAGTGCTGGGATTAAAGGCATGAACCACTGTTCTGGCTGACTTATACCAGAATCTAATTAGTAACCATTCTTCACTTAGATCAATTATAAATTTATTTCTAATACACAATTTAAGAGTTACTCAGCGCAACCTTATTTATATTAGGAATTTTTTTCTCCCCAAAATATCACATACTCTTTGACCTTAGTTTCCTTTTATCTAAAATGATGGGGTTTCTAAGTTTCCCTCTATCTTTAATATTCAGTGAAGTTTGTCATTTAGTATACAAGTGGCCAACAAACATGAAAAGAAAGTTCAGTACCACTAATCATCCGAGAAGTACAAATCAAATGCACAATGAGATATCATTTCACACCAGTCAGAATGGCAGTTATTTAAAAGTCAAAAAATAAGAGATGCTGGTAAGGTTGTGGAGAAAAGAGAACACTTATACACTGTTGGTAGGAATGTAAATTAGTTCAACTACTCTGGAAAACAGTTTGGAGATTTCTCAGAGAACTTGGAACTACCATTCAACCTAGCAATTCCATTACTGAGTATATACCCAAAGGTAAATATATTGTTCTACCAAAAAGACATGCATTTGTGTGCTAATTGAAGCATTATTCACAATAGCAAAGACATTAAATCAGCCAAGGTGCCCATCAGTGGTGAATTGGATAAATAAGATGTGGTACACATATATTATGGAATACTATGCAGCCATAAACAAGAACAAAATCATGTCCTTTCTAGCAACATGAATGCAGCTGGAGACCATTATTCTGAGCAAATTAATGCAGGAACAGAAAATCAAATACCACATGTTCTCACTTATAAGTGGAGCGAAACATTGGGTACATGTGATCATAAAGATGGGAATAATAGATACTGAGACTACTAGACAGGGGAGAGAGGGAGGAGGGCAAGAGTTGAAAAACTCTCTGTTGAGTACTGTGCTTACTACGTGGGTGATGGGATGATTCATACCCCATGCAATATACTCATGTAGTAAACGTGCACATGTGTCATTTGAATCTAAAATAAAAGTTGAAATTATTTTTTTTAAAGTTTGTCATTTGGGGCACATATTTCCATATGAAGAATATTAGAATGGGTATTAGGCTTCCATGCTAGTTTATAAACGCTCCTGAACAAGTAGTGTACATAAAATATAGTCCAACTAGAATGTTATTCAACTATGTCTAATCACAATTTATAATATAGCCCTGAAGCAACTCCTACCCCACTTTTCTACCCTATCCTCCAGCAGTTTGTGGAAGGACAAGAGGCTGTATTAGATAGATTAAATCCGAGTGTCAGAAATTCCACATTAACATGAAAGTGGCTTAATCTGCACAACATCTAGATTTCTCCTGCCCAGTATGGTAGCTACTAGCTATTTTTGCTATTTAAATTTAAATTAGTTAAATAAAATTAAAAATTTCTTCAGTCACATTAACTACATTTCAAATGCTCAAAAGCCACATGTAACTAATGGTTACCTTATTGGACAGAGCAGATATAGAACATTTTATTATTATAGAAAATTTGGGGCAGTACTAATCTAGCACTGAACCTCCCTATGCCTTCTTCTTACTGCAATGAAGACAGCATATTGTACTTTTATGTCATTGTGTTTAGTTCTCTTGTGAGTACGAATAAGTTCAAATTGGATTAGTTTGCAGTAGCCATATCAATTTTAATAAAAAATTTTCTTTACCTGAGTTGGAAAACTTTGTTTTGATAGCTTTTAATGTTTGGTAGTGGTGTTTTGTGATGAAAACAAATTATTCATCTTTGGTGTCTGTAGAGATAACTTTGAAAAAATGCTTTGTAGGCAGCTGAGATTCTACTACAGAATGGAGCAAACCCTAATCAAAAAGATAAAAAACAGAAGAGTGCTTTGGATGAAGCAGATGATGAAAAAATGAAAGACTTACTAAAATCTTATGGTGCTATTCAGACCAATAATAGAGATGAGAGTGATGGTATAGTCAATGGTATGTATGTCAATATTGCTACTATTTTAGATAGAGATATATCTCTGCTTAGGAAAATCTTCTGATTTGTTGTATAAATTGTTTCATAAGTGGGATAGATGTGTTCTACGTTCATTAAACTCTTCAAAAGCCATTATTTATTTTTAGAAATTAGCATTTAAAAATATAGTTTAATTTATAGGTTATATGATCCTATTAGATGTTGAAATGAAACCTATAGCATTCATCAAACAAACATAAATCTCCCTAACATTGGGTTTGGGATAGAGATGTAATTGAAGCCATGCAGATCAGTTTATTTGTAGTAGGGCTGGAAAAAGGTGACATTATGCTGAAGATTTTGTGACTAAGATTTCATCACTTCAAAATTTGTAATGATTCATACATCAATTGGATTAATGCCAATTTTTAAAGAATCTAGTATTCTGGTATACTAATTTGTTAAAGGAAAAATACTTGTATATGTGTAATATATATAACAGTGAAAAGATTTTTTCAAGGAAATGTACAATCAGGCAAAATTTTATGAACCATTTTTAGCAATACTTTATATTTTATTAAGTATTGAGGTGAAGGAATTGTTCTTCCTTTTCCCTCATGCTCAAACCTTGACTCATAGAAGAAGATACTCAGAAATATATTTATATTCTCGCCATGAGAGAGAATGCTGGGGAAAGCAACTGTGTCACACACTTATCCCCTAGCCTACCAACATCCTTACCAACTGTTGATTTTCAAAGAAGAATTACTGATATAACTGGTCAGAGTGAAGGATATTCGTTGTGTTATATTTCACCAGTGGGCTAGATCATGGAGAGGTCAAAGTCAAGAGTGATATTAATTTCGTCATTTCATTGCCTTTTACCATATAGTAAGTCCATATGGTCAAGGCCTTTCTTAGAGGCCCAGCCATTTCGCTGTCCCTCTTCACAGCTATACCTGAAAGTTCCCATGATTTAGATTGCTCAGCTTATCAGGGAAGCCTTGCATTTGGAGTTGTTGATAAATCTATTATAAAGTGATAGATCTATTCTCAAATATCTATTGTTTCTTGCTTCCTTGATCAGGTACCCCAGAAGGATGAAGAATATAGGGTACAATGATAATACAGAGAAAGGGAATCCAGAATAGGAGTGGGGCCCAAGAGAACTTTACAGAGGCAATTAGTCAAGTCTTAGTGCTTAAGAACATGGACTTTGGAGTCAGATGAGATCTGGTTTCAGTTCTAGCTATGAAATTGGGCAACTTCCTGAACCTTTCTCAGCATCACTTTCCTCTTCTGTAAAATGGATAGAATAAACTACCTACTTTACAGGTTCATATGAAGATTAAATAAGATGATTTATGGAAAGTTTTTGGCACCCAGCATGTGACAAGTGCTCAGTAAATTTAGCCATAAATAGTCAATGATGATGATGTGTGCTGTTTAAGATATTATAATATTTGTAGACTTGATGTATCCTTCCTATCCCCGTCACATTAAAGCTCAAAAATGAAGCTATGTTTTTACACATTCTTATTATATTTTCTAATTTTACTTTTTAAAGAAAAAATTCCTGCTGTTCGGTCTAAAAGACATAAACAGTGTTTTTGTGATGATGGCAAACCTGTTGATTCACCTTCCCTCTCATACCAAGAAAGATCAAGAGAAAGCCTTTCTGCAGTGAGTAAAGTTAAAATTACTTCATTCTTCATCTTAGAAAATGCCATTCTTTGAGCTAGCCAGTTAGTTATTGGCTAATGGCAGTACTGTCCATTTTAATGATACAAGGATTGAAATTTTTTATCGTAAAAGATAAGATAGCTAACAGAATGGGCCCAGAAGTTATGCTGTGTGGTTAACTTTTAATTACCTGCTTTGAATACAGAACTATGGAGTAGTTGCTGTCCTTTAAACCTAGTTTGAGTTCTTTGGCTACTTCTTGTCCATAGACACTGCCACTGTCATAAATGCTTCTTCACTCACTTCCATAAGTGTCTAGGAGATACAAGATGTAGAAAAGATTCTGAAATCCAAACAGAGAAGAGGATTAAGGAACCTAGTTTAGCTGTCCTCGATGCCTTATGGTTTATAGTAATATAATTTGCTTTAAAACCCACCATGGGAAGGTAGCTTTTGAAAAAAGAACATAGCAGTTGCTTAATAAAATATACATTGATTGATGGATGTTCTTGGTTTGACAAAAACACAAAGCTTAAATAGACACAAAATCTTAACCAAGGTAGCATCCTCAATGAAACATTATTTTGGATAAGTCTTGGCCCATGGTGTCCAAGACTGAGTACATCCACAGTATGAGCAAAGTAGAAAGGAAGGTTGGCACCAAAAGATGTTTTCTTTATCCTTATCTGTGGATAGAGCTTAGCCTGGGCACAAGTTCTGGCCTTTTGTTTGCTTTTATAACCATAAATCGTCCACTGTATAAAGTGGTAAACCTTAGTGGGGTTTTTTTTGCTTGTTTTTTTATATTTGTATTTTATAGTTTCACTGTGATGCATTTAATAAATGACAGTAGAAAGATTGGTTTACCAAATAAGTAGATGATTTTGTTACATACTTTTTTTTATATCTTTTGTTGGAACCAAAGTAAAATTTCAGGGCAACGTACTTCAAAAGGCTTAGAGGACCTACATGTTTTAGAAATGAATGTGTATTGAGAATAAGGATAGGTAATATGAGTCAATCCATCAGTCACTGTTAATGGAGTGATAGCTGTGATCCTACAATGTCAAACCATATACAAATATAAAAGGCATGTGCCTGCCTACAAGATCTCATTGTCCTGATGAGGAAATATAATATATATGATATTATTGTATTAGTGTTAAATTATGTAGCACTGAAATTCTTAATTCTGAGAAAAGGGAAGTCAGCATGGATTAGATAGGTCAGAAATTTCCTGTATGAGATGGGTTTTATATGATAATATTCACTATTTAGGGAGTTCTTTCTTTGTGCTGAAATTGTCCTTAGCATTTTAATGTGTTATACAATTCAGGCACAGAGAGGATAAGTAACTTGCTAGAGTCACACAGATAGGAAGAGGTGAAGCCAGTATTTACACCCTGGGAGTGTGGTTCCAGAGCCCACTCCACAATTCACTTTTATAAGAAAGAGAAGGATCAGAGCAGAGTGAATTGAAAGCATTCCAGGCAGGAAGATTAGTATTGACAAGGGCATGTAAGAATGGTATTAAGTCCCCTTTGTGAGTTTTTGAAAGCATTGTGTTTTGTATTTCTAAGATTATGTATAAGATTTTAATCATATACAATGAGAGTCATATGGCCTTAAAGTGAACTTGTTATATATATGTGCTTTCAATATTATGTGCTGATTTGTTTACTTTTTCTCTTACACCTATAATTTCAACAGAAGTTAGTGAGAAATTATGATTTATTATATGATTGCTACTTTTACATTCTATTTTCCAGGAGATCTATATAATTCAAAATATACTTGTTTGCTTTTGTTCAAATCTGCAACATTTATATAGTTAAGCTTATACAAAGTATGAGTACATTTTGAGCACAATGAGGAATGAGCATTTTTAGGAATACTTTCTTTAGTATTTTATTTACTCTGTGTTTGTCAATGACATATCAGAGAGCATATCTACCCCTTTGTAATGAAGTTTCAAATATTTTTATCTGATAGCATCAGACCCTCAGTGCCATTCTACAAGATATAGAAGAAAAACAAGAAAATTTATTAGAGTTTGAAATAAGAAACCCTGAAGATGCAGGTAAATATAGACTCATACTCAAATATATTTTCAGATACCCAAGGTCATCTTCTTCTTAAGGTATATGTTTATTTCAAAGCTTAAGATAGCTGAAAAAGTGGTCTATTTTTACTCAAGAGGATTTAAAATGCTAGGAATTATTAATATCATTAAAAGTAGACTTAAAAAGTAAATCTAAAGTAGACTTTTAATGATAGCTAAAAGACTTATTTTATCATAATGCAAACTAGTAGTTTGTTATTAGATAAAAATACTTCTATATGCAAAGTGTTGCTAATTTGAGAGACATTCAGAACCATCATCAGAGATAAGCTACTACCAGTGATATGTTTAGATAATCCTATGACAGAAAACGTAAGATTGTGACTGGAGATGAGATTATGTTACCATGTGGCTTGTCAGCTTCACCCAGCTATGGTAATCCTTAAAAGTAGATCAGAAATAGTGCAGCGGAAGGTGGTGCAGCAGTGACACAAGGAAAGCAAATCTTCATACTTTCAGAAGAGCACATATAACAGGTGGATGTCTTACTGCAAAGATATCTTCCTGTTTTCAAAACACTAAAGATTCAAAATAACAAATTAGACTCTGATCCCTTACCTAATAATCTTAATTTCTCAAACTTCAGTGAATATGTGCAAGCCCTTGATGACTCACATATATATTTTTTGAGTTATGATTTATAAGGTGGAAAGTAGTTCCTGATAAGTTCAGATCTGAATGTAAAAGTTAGTTAAAAGTAGTAGCTAAGGCCGAGTGCCATGGCTCAAGCCTGTAATCTTAGCACTTTGGGAGGCTGAGGCAGGCGGATTGCCTGAGCTCAGGAGTTTGCCACCAGCCTGGGCTACACGGTGAAACCCTGTCTCTACTAAAAAAAATACAAAAAATTAGCCAGGCGTGGCAGCGTGCACCTGTAGTTCCAGTTGCTCAGGAGGCTGAGGCAGGAGAATTGCTTGAACCTGGGAGGTGGAGGTTGTAGTGAGCCGAAATTGTGCCACTGCACTCCATCCTGGGTGACAGAGCAAGACTCTGTCTCAAAAAAATAAAAAGTAGGAGCTAAAAGTAAAGTACCTCATCAACCTTTTGTGTAGCAGGATATAATTGTTTATCTCTTGTCCTAACTCATGTTTGTATAGCCTTTAAAAAAATCATCTCTTTTAAAATTTTACACATTCTACTTTTCATTCTGACCTAACGTGGTGCATGTTATGTTTTGAGGAAACTAATATTAAATAATTCATACCCGCAACAAAAATGTACAGTTAATATATTTATTTTATTTACTACATGTAATGTCTTTTGCATCCAAGATGATTATTCCAAGTCTATAATTTTTTCATTATGAAAGACATACAGATATACTTGGAGAAATAACAAAGAGAAAAATGCTAAAATTAGCTACTGCCCCACCACAATATTTTGTTGTTTTGTTTCCAAGTCCCTCTCCCCACATTTTTTTTAAAGAACATAGTAATACAATTAGATCTCAATAAAACTGTTAAAAACATAGTTTTGATCATGCTAGATATGGTATTTTTGCATTCTTTTTTCCCATAGTCTTCATTCTTAGTGTTCAATAAATGTTCAACAAAAAGGGAAAAATTAATTACTTCCACAGTTTCCTAAATTTTTCCCTTTTTGTTGAACATTTGGATGATTTCGAAGTTTTTGCTGTTCTACAATATGTAGCTTTTTCTGGACTTATTATCTTCTCAGGAAAGATTAACAGAGTTGTAACTGTTGGATCAAATTATATAAGCATTTTAAAGTCTTGATTTATATTGATAAATTCTATTTTATATGTGTAGTACTAATTTTCAATTTGGAAGTGAAAATACTGGTGCTGCTAGCAGTGTACACGTTAGTGTCTTTGTGTACACTGCTGGTAGCAACAGTATTTTCATTTTAAATAACCTTACTAGTTTAATAAGAAAAATATGCCTTATATTTTCATTTGCCATGTTGCTTATTAGTGGTACTTTTTCATTAGTTTTATTCCCTATTTTAAGAACTGACTGTTTCTATTCTTTGTTTATTCATCAAGTGGATCCTATTTATATAATACAATTACTTACCCCCTTTCCACCATAACTGCTGCAAATACTTTTTCAGCCACTTGTCTTTTTCTTTGTAATGTGTGCCAGTTTTTGTTTAAATATATACAATTTCAATTCTGTACAGCAAAAATTCATCAGCCTTTTATTTATTTTTTTGAATGCCTCTAAAATTAGGAACTTCTTCCCACCACTCCCAGATTTTGTAGTTTAATTTTATTCTGTTATAACCAATACATTGAATAATCATGATGCCTTTATTTTTGTCTTACTGCCTTAAAGAAGGAGAGGTAAGGCAATGGGACCCTGGAGTTCTTGATGGAATCTAATTACTGACTGTGGTTAGCGCTGCCACTCTCTGGCAAGTGTTTAAAACTCAGTCTCTGGAGAGCAGTTTTCTAAGACTCTTCTGAAATTTCCTTATGGCCCATCATGCTGGAACTCCTATGATGTGGGCAGTACACATTGCCCTTTCCCTGTGCTGTCTCATTCTTTTCTCAGCTTCTATTTTTTTCTGATGGACTATCCTACACAGACTCTCACTCTCAGATGGAAGCCCTCATAGTCAGGGTCACAGGGCAGGTCTCACACCAAGTCCTCAGGACTTTTGCACCTCAGGCCCACTGTTTAAAGGGAAGACAATTACTTCTCAGCTCAGCAGCAACTTGCTTTTGGCCTTGCTCTGGTAGCTCCTCATTCTTCGAGATCTCTAGGTGTTCAAGAAGGAAGCCAAATGCCAATTTATTGTCACCTCAACTGAGGGTTTAGTTAAGTTCTCTAAATAGTCTATGAGGAACAGCCCCCATTAGGCTTGAGGCAAAGGAGAGAAGCCCCTTTACCCATTATTCTTGCTGCTGAGCATGCAGATTCCCACTGAGGTAAGCAACTGCTCTCTAAAGAAATATCTTTTCAAACTCACCCTCCTCCACATCTGACACTTGTTATAGTTTTGATCTGGCTGAGGGATCTGAGTAATGAGTCCCATTTTGTATATTTCTTTGAAAATTTTTCTTATAGAGGCCTTGCATTCACTTTGCTATCAGATATCAACCGAACTGCTTCAACTGAACTGAGGCAGAAAATTGCCATTGTTAACATTTTATATATTTTTCCCTAAGTATTTTAATGTATAATTCATCTGAAATTTTTTTTGTTTGCAAGATAGATATGTTCCCCATCCCGTATTACTATCCCATTTATTCATCCCTATTTGTGGAATAATTTCTCTCATCCTCTCTGTTTTGTAATGTCTAATCAAGTACTAAAATCTTACACATATTAGGATAGTTATAGATTCTTATTAATATATCATTGATTAATATCACCTTTGATGAAGTAGTGTGTGATACCAAATTATATGTAAAATATATTTCTATTGTCTTTAGAGAAACATACAGAATATTTTAAGTTACTGTGCCATGTTATTTTTACCTGTGGTTTAAAATTCAGTTGGAAAAGCTGGTATGACAGGCCATATAGACTTTTAATAAACAGTGTCAAATCTGCTGAACAAAGTTATATCTAAATTCTTATTGATTATACATGTTTTCTCCCTTTGTTAGCATATACATCATATTGTGAAACTAATCCTTAGCCACAGCATTAGGGCAATAGAAACTGCTCTGGGGACACTGACTCAATACTTATCCAGTCATTTGTCTGATTTGCCAAGAGAATTTCTGAAACAAATTCTACTTCTGAACCTTATGTCATTTTCTACCACAGATTTTCTGAAGTTACTTCATCCAGGAAAATGTGCATTGGTCCAAGAAATTAGGAAAACCTTTAAGAAACAAAGCCAAAAGTGAAAGGAATAAAAATAGCTTAAGAGAATTAAAATATATGCATTTAACCTTTCCAGTTTCCTACTTGGGAATCTGGATTTGTACCTAACCCACATTTATGTATATATCATGTGGATTTGTGATGGGGGAAAGGTCATTATGCCTTTACGTGGAAAGCAGAGGAAGAAAGTCAGGAAAATTTAAGTAATTATTGCAATGGTGGTTTGTAAGATCTACAGGTGACCTTAGGTTTCATATAGTACAGTGGAAGTATTGTTGTAAATGCAAAGAACAAGAACTAATAGCATGATTCTATTTTTAAGTATATATAATGTATAATTATATGTAGTATAATTATTTTAAATAAATATATAACACACATTTTACACACACACATATACACACACACACCCTAAAGTATTAACAGTAATTTCCTTTGTATAATACATTAGAGGACAGTGAGGTGAGTAGAGACACTCTTACATCTTTATAAATATTTATATGGTTTGAAAAAATTTTACAATGTTAATGTATTCCTTTTGTATTTAAAAAAATAATTTTAACAGACAAAATATCTTCCTTTACTACCTTCATTTCACAGGTAAGAAAGCTGACCATAGAAGTTACCTGACTTATCTAGGATCACAAAACTTAGTGGGACTAAGGCTGGCTTGGATTAGAACTCAGGCTGGCCTGCTCTTTTACAGTATTCTCACTTATATACTTCAAGGCGTTTCCATAGATCGACATTGTTAAATAAGCCTTAATGGAGATATCTGGGCCATTAATATTGGGGAAGAGGATACGGCATAATGGCTTTTTAAAATTAACAGTAGGGCTTATTTCTGTATGACCAAATTTGACATTCACTGTCCCTTAGTTAGCTAACTTTTTATTGTCCTGTTTCTAGAGCAATACATTGAAAAGATGTTAAAGATAAAAGAGCTTATGGATAATGTGCTTGCCAAGCAGAAAGCAGAAAGGGATGATCTGGCTAAAAAATACAGGTGAGTAGAAAAAAAAAAGAGTGCTTTTGAGTTTCTAGCATTTATCCATTTTAACTGCAATAGTTGTCTAGAAATTCTTAAGAATACAAACATTGCTTAGGACCAAAAAATGACTTTATGAGGTTGTCTAATCTGAAAATTATACTTCCCAGAAAGGTATTTTTCTACATTATTACTTGAAATAGTCAGAAAAGAACATTTCAATATCTGAAGTTGTCCACAATGGAGAATTTTATGAAAGCCTTTCTGGTTATGAATCTCACAGATAAATTTCTTTCCTTAGCACACTCAAATTTTCTACATTAAAAAATGTTTCGTTTTGCTGTCACAAATGTCCTTCTAAGCAGTTAATCAGTTGATTAATTTTGTGTTTTATTGTATTTCTAAAATCTCAAGGTCCTTAAAGAGTTTTATCCTGATTATATTGGTTATATACCTCTACTTATATTTTGTTGTGAAAAAAATGTTGTATTTTTTTTTTGTTTGGACATTATTTTTTCTTAGTTTTTAATTGACTTAGCTACTTATGTTCCCTATTCTTTATTCACATTCAATTTTCTAAATATGTCCTTATATGTCTTCTCTTATAATCATTTAATGTCTATTACATATTTAATTTTTTTCTGAACTTATTTAAAAAATCAGTTTTCTGTTTTTATTTTTAATCCCCATTTTGCCATCTTCTCCAGTGAATAGCTAACATAAGTTCAAAATACAATATGGTAATTACTTGGGGAACTAACATTTCTCAGGTCTAGCTGAAGCATGATTATTCACAAAACAATCTTGTTCTTCCATAACTAAGAGAACCTGAGTAGAACTTTCAAATTGTACTTACTAATAAACAGGTAAGCAAGCCCCAAATTTAAAGAATGATGGCTCTCCTTAGCCACCAATTGCTACCTTCCAACCAAAGACTAATAGATATTTAGATAGATGACCCAAGTTTTGCTTGTCTTTTAGGGTTGATTCCCAATTGATAATAATGATATGAATATATAATCTGGATAAACTTACTGTCACCTCCTTAAGAAAAGGCACACTTACCTTAAATAAAGGAATCAGATTCCTCTCGAAGTATTTTGCACCAACAGGCAGCAGGTGGTCAGATTTAAAAAATCAAAGGCAATAAACTGCAAGATAGAGTTTTGTGTATTTTGAAGAGATTAAAACTGAGACAAAGTATCTTTAACCTCTAAATGACTGCATTAAAAAGTTTTCTGCTGTTACTACATTTTTTTTCTCTTTCTGTTTCTTCCTATAGGGTATCCATAGAGTCATTTAAGCATGGAGCCCTGAGAGAACAGTTGGCCAACTTGGCTACAAGACAGAAGAGCCTTTTAGCTGTGGCAAAAAAACAGAAAAAAATAAGCCTGAAAATTCAAAACTATAAGAATGTTACATCATTGTCTTGTCTTAGTTTAAGGAAGCTTCCACCCAGATCAGAAATCTTTAGTGAAAAGGACAGCCAAGAGCTCACCAGTCTGGAAAATTTAGAGCATCCCCAATCAGTTTCACTTTCTCCCGTTTGTGGAAGCATGCAAGAAACACAATTGTCTCTGGAAACTTGGAACTACAGCCAAAATACCAACATTTGTCTAAATTCAGAGGCAGTGATAAGGGGAGAATTTTCTGGAAATGAGATGATTTCTAAACAAAATATCAGTGATTGTACCTTGGATGGTTTATCAAAATCCAGACATTCAGATAGCACTGAGATTAAATTATCATCCCAACCCGTTGCTTTTATTGGTCAAACAGAATATTCACAGAAAGAGAATGATCTTATAGAAGCTACAGACAAAGACCATGAATTCTATAGTCCTTCCCTAGTAATTGGCAAATTGAATATTTCAGAAACTGCAAGTATCCTTGCCAAAAGTGATGCTCATCCATCAAATGTTATCTGTGATCAGGACCTTACCAATTATGACCCTAAAAGAGGAAACAGGAAAACAACTTCCCAGAAACCACCTAGGGGGACATCAGAATCCCTGGTACATCAAGGGATTGCTGCCTTAGGCAGTGACACAGTGAATCAGATGAAACCGTATCTTAAAAAATCAGTTTCTGCTGTTCCACATGCAGATGACAGTCAGATCTCCTCTTCCTCCAGATCTGGGCAACGATATACTATAAAAAAGCCTTTAAACTACAGTACAGCTCCTAAAAAGAAATGTATTCAGATAAAAGATTTGATATTACTAGGAAGAATTAACCCAGGAAATAACATTCTGGAATTCAAAACACAGGTATTCTATATCTTTTTCTCTAAAATCATGCAAATTTTGTAAATAAGTGAGTAAATGTTGCTGTCACATAGTATAGACATTTAGCTCTGATTAGGGAAATGGGGTTTTGCTGGGCTTCCTGAATGGAGGGACACAACCGTTGTATTCTAGCAAGTGAATTAATGTTTCTGGAATTGCCCTAATACATTTATTTTTATTTTATTTATTTTTTAATTTTAATTTTTATTTTAAGTTTCAGGGGACGTGGACAGGATGTGCAGGTTTGTTGCATAAATAAACGTATGCCATGGTGGTTTGCTGCACCTGTCAACCCATCACCTAGATATTAAGCCCAGCATGCATTAGCTATTTTTCCTAATGCTCTCCCTCCTCCCACCTCACTCCCCAAAAGGCCTAGTGTGTGTTGTTCCCTTCCCTGTTTCCATGTGTTCTCATTGTTCAGCTCCCACTTACAAGTGAGAACATGCAGCATTTGGTTTTCTGTTCCTGCATTAGTTTGCTGAGGATAATGGCTTCTAGCTTCATCTATGTCCCTGAAAAGGACATGATATCATTCCTTTTTATGGCTGCATAGTATCCCATGGTGTATATGTACCACATTTTCTTTATCTGTTCTATCATTGATAGGCATTTGGGTTAATTCTACATTTTTGCTATTATGAATAGTACCTCAGTGACCATACACGTGCATGTATCTTTGTAATAGAATAATTTATATTCCTTTGGGCATATGCCCAGTAGTAGGATTGCTGGGTCAAATGGTATTTCTGGTTCTAGATCTTTGAGGAATTGCCACACTGTCTTCCACAATTGTTGAACTAATTTACATTCCCACAGTATAAAAGCATTCCTATTTCTCTGCAGCCTTGCCAGCATCAGTTGTTTCTTGACTTTTTAATAATCACCATTCTGACTGGCATGAGATGGTATCTCCTCGTGGTTTTGATTTGCATTTCTCTAATTATCAGTAATGTTGAACTTTTTTTCATATTTCTTGGCCACATCAATGTCCTCTTTAAACCTGACAAAAACAGGCAATGGAGAAAGAATTCCCTGTTTAATAAATGGTGCTGGGAGAACTGACTAGCTATATGCAGAAAATTGAAACTGGATCCATTCTTTATACCTTATACAAAAATTAACTCCAGGTGGATTAAAGACTTAAATGTAAAAACCCTAGAAGAAAATCTAGGCAAACCATTTGGGACATAGGCACAGGTAAAGATTTCATGACAAAATCACCAAAAGCAATTGCAACAAAAGCCAAAATTGACAAATCGTATCTAATTAAACTACAGAGCCTCTGCCCTGCAAAAGAAACTATTATTAGAGTGAACAGGCAACCTACAGAATGGTAGAAAATTTTTGCAATCTATCAATCTGACAAAGGTCTAATACCCAGAATCTACAAAGAACTTAAACAAATCTACAAGGAAAAAAAATGATCCTATTAAAAAGTGGGCAAAGGGCATGAACAGACACTTCTCAAAAGAAGACATTCATTTGGCCAACAAACATACCAAAAAAAGCTCAACATCACTGATCATTAGAGAAATGCAAATCAAAACCACAATGAGATACCATCTCATTTCAGTCAGAATGATGATTATTAAAGTCAAGAAACAACAGATGCTGGTGAGGTTGGAGAAAAATAGGAATGCTTTTACACTGTTGGTGGAAATGCAAATTATTCCACTTCTTTAAAACTATCAGGCTTTTTGTAAGGCTTAGCTCATATCCTAGAGAATATTCCATGCACAATTGAGAAGAATATATATTTTCCTCTTGTTAGGTGAAGTTTTCTATAGATGCCTGTTAAGTCTAATTGGTTTATAGTGCCCTGTTTAAGTCTTCTTTTTCCTCATTGATCTTCTGCCTGTTTGGTCTATACAGTAGTGCCCCCTTATCTGCAGGGGCTATGTTCCAAGAACCTTAGTGGATGCCTGAAACCACAGATAGTCCCAAACCCTATACACTATGTTTTTTTCTATATATGCATACCCATGATAAAGTTTAACTTGTAAATTAGGCACAGATTAATCATAACTAATAATAAACGAAATGATTATAACAGTATGCTAGCATCACTACTGTTTAGCTTTGGAGATGTTTTAAAGTTATATAAAGGTTACTCACACACAAGCCTCGAAATCTAATAACGTAGATATCTACCAAGTGACTGATGGGCAGATCGCATATACAGTGTGAATACTCTTGACAAAAGGATGATTCACATCTTGGGCAGGATAGAGTGGGACAGTGTGAGATTTCATCACACTACTCAGAAGATCACGCAATTTAAAATTTGTGAATTATTTCAGGAATTTCTTATTATATATGTTTGAACCACAGTTGACTATGGAAAGTGAAAGTGCAGATATGGGGACTACCATACATTATTGAAAGTGGAATATTGAAGTCTTTTACCGTTGAACTATTTCTTGCTTCATTTCCGTTCATTTTTATTTCATGTATTTTCATTCTGTTTTGTGTTTTAAGTGCATGTGCTTATAATTGTTATATCTTTTTATGCATTGAGGCTCTTAGTATTGTAAAATGTCCCCTAACATCTCTTGTAACCATTTCTCTTTTAAGGTCTAGTTTGTCTGATATTATATAGCCATTCCAGCTTTCTTTTGGCTGCTGTTTGCATTATATACTTTTTCTATCCTCTTACTTTCAATTTACTTGTCTCCTTGAATCTAAAATCTGTCTCCTATATGCATTATATAGTTGGATCTTATTTTTTTAATCCAGTCCGATCAGCTTTGCCTTTTGATTAGGTTGTTTAATTCATTAACATTTCATATTGTTATTACTATTGTTGGATTTATGTCTTCTATTTTACTTTTTGTTTCAATATACCTCATGTCTTTTTGTTCCTCTGTACTTCCTTTATTGCTTTCTTTTGCAATCGGTGAATATTTTCCAATGTAAAATTTTAATTTCTTTAGTGACTTTTTTCATCATATTTTTTGAGTTGTGCATGCAGTAGCTGCTCTAGGACTCAACATTTTTGCTATCAGAGTCAGCTTCAGATGTATCATACCAACTTAATTCTAGTAAAATATATAAATGTTACTTCTGTAGAGCATTATTCCTTTGTCCCTTTTTTATGATATTATTGGATACATATTATGTTTATAAGTTTATAAACCCAACAACACATTGATATAATTATTGCTTTATAAAATGTTGTGACGAAGAAAGGAAAGCAATACAGATTTATAGCTTTTGTTGTACCTACCTTCTTATTTATCCTTTCTGGATTATTGCATTTGTTTTTGTAGATTTGAGTTACCATGTGGAGTCATTTCCTTAGCCCAATATAGCTTTGTTCCCACCTACCTCTTTTGTGCTGCTATTGGCAAACATATTACATTTCTATTAGTTATAGGCCCAGCACTAACTTCTGTATCTATCGTTTTTTATAATTGCTTTTTAAAATCTGTTGAGACAAAAGGAGGAGAAATATGCACTTATACTGTTTTTATAATACATAATTACCTTTACTTGTACTATATGGTTTTTGATATGGATTCATATTAGCCTATAGGATCATTGGCTTTCAACCTGAAGAATTCCTTTATTATTTCTTATAAGGTAGATCTCTTAGCAACCAATTTTCTCAGTCTCTCAGAATGTCTTTATTTTGCCTTCATTTTTAAAAGAGAGTTTTCCTAGATACAGGATTCTTAGTTAATAGTTTTTTCTGGTATACCTGGAATATGTCATCCCACTGCCTCTGGCTTCCCTTGTTTGATAATAAGACAGCTGTTAATCTTCTTGAGGTTCCCTTGTAAACTATGAGTTATTTTTCTCCTGCAGCTTTTAATATTTTCTCCTCATCTTATGACTTTTGGCATTTTTACTATGTATCTGTGGATCTCTGCATTTATCCTACTTGAAAGTCATTGAGCCTCCTGAATGTGTAGATTAATACATTTCAGTAAGTTTGGGAAGTTGTTGTTGTTGTTGTTGAAACAGAGTCTTGCTCTGTTGCCCAGGCTGGAATGCAATGGTTTGATCTCAGCTCACTGCAACCTCCACCTCCCAAGGGTTTAAGCGACTCTTCTGCCTCAGCCTTCCAAGTAGCTGGGATTATAGGCACCCACCACCATGCCCGGCTAATTTTTGTATTTTTAGTAGAGACGGGTTTCACCATGTTGGCTGGGCTGGTCTTAAACTCCCAACTCAGGTGATCTACCTGCTTCTCCCTCCCAAAGTGCTGGGATTTCAAGCATGAGTCACTGTGCCAGGCCAGCTTGGGAAGTTTTTAGGCATATATTTCTTCAGTATTTTCTCTGCTCTTTTTGCTTTTCCTCTCCTTCTTATGCATATATTGGTATGCTTAATGATGTTCCATATTTCTCTGAGGCATTTTCATTTTCTCTTTCCTTTGTCTTGCATACTCTGTATCAGTGTCTTCAACTTTACTAATTCTTTCTCTTGCCAGTTTAAATCTGTTGAGAGGGAGTGACTATTTTGTTTCAGTTATTTTACTTTCCAATTTCATAACTTGTATTTGGTTCTTAAAAAAAAATTTTTTTTTCTTTTTTACTGATATTCTGTGTTCAACATGCCCTTGTCATCATTCCTTCCGTAATGTCTTTAATTATGGTTTTCTTTAGTTTCTTGACCATATTTATAATAGTTATTTTGAAGTCTTTGGTAAATCCAGTGCCTGGTCACTCTCATAGGCAGTTTCTCTTGCCTGTTTTTCCCCCAGTGTATGTGTCGTACTTTCCTGTTTCTGTGTATGTCTAATAATTTTTGTTGGAACTGAACATTTCAGACAGTGCATTGTAGCAACTCTACCCTACCTTCTCTTAGACTTCTTATTGCTATTTGTTTGTTTAATTACTGGCTAGATTGTTTTGGTGAAGTCTGTTTTAGTGAAGTCCCCACTTCAGTGCTAAACTTCCAATGTTGAGCTTCAGGGACTAAGGCTCTGGTCACCTCTTTCCCAGACCTCCCTGACCACCCATGGCTCTTAAGCTCCACTTACTGCCCATTGACTGTTTTATTGTTTTCAACAATGTCCTAGGGGCACAGATTGCTCTACAGACTAATCAAGCAAAGGTAAGCTCCTTTGAAGGGATAGTTCTTGAGGTCAGTGTTTGAAGTTTATTATGAACCTAGGAAAGCTCCTGCAAGCTCTTTTCCCAGTTGTCTCTTGCAAACTAGCCAGCCTACAGTTTAGCCTATGTCTCAAATGAATCTACCAGTCTACTCACAATTGCCTTTTACCACAACTTCTAGTTCTGATAGTGCCCTTGAGCTTGAACTTCTTCATGCTTTGTTGCAAATGAAGTTAGTTCCTTAGGGAGGAGATTAGGAGCTGTTTTACAGCCTGCTTCTCTTCCCAGGCAGAACCCCTGAACCTCGGTCCTGGAGCTCAGGGTGGGGACAATGGTGATTTTTCGAGTGACACCCTTGTTTTAGGAGCTGAGCATTCAGTAGAGGGGAGGTAGTAGCTTCCTGTTTTTTCAGCTTGCCTCTCCCAATGTGAAACCACCACCTTATAAGCCAAAGCAAGGGCAATTGGGATCCCAGCATTCTCACTGGTGCCATGCCAAAGGTGAAGCCTCTGTCTCACCACTCAGAGCTGAGCAGGAGAAGGGAGCCTCCACCCTTTGGCTATAGTTGCTGGCAACTTGGTCTTAGCAACAGCAGCTGGGGACAGAATGAGAAATGCTGAAGTTATGCCCTTCCCAGGAAGACAGCCCTGTAACAGGGAGCCCTGTAGTATTGACTACGGCAATCTGGAGTGGAGTCTCCATTTCACAGGGCTGGGAGTGGGGAGGGAGAAAGCAGTCTTGGTTCAAATACCATCAACTCTCAAATTTTTAATCTGATTTTTGTAGATTTTGTTGACTAGATGGTTTTTCATTTGCTGCATGCCCCTATGATCATTTCTAGATACATTAAAATATAAGCAAAAATTTATCAGGTGTTAGGGTATACCTAGTCCTTATTACTTTGTCATGGCCAGAAGCAAAAGTTCACATATTTCAACTATTTTTGACCCAAACTTTTCTTTTATTTTTTCACTTCAGGAGACTACCCACAAAGCCAGTATTTTATTGAATGGTAAACTTAAGGTAGAAAGTGGTCAGATTTATAAAAACCCAGTCACCTGGCTCAAGGATCTTCTGGGAGGCAACCGTTATGTGACCTGGAATTATGCCTGGAATAAGGTAGGTCATTCTTAAGTTTATCTTAAGGAAATCTGAAAGATCTCCAAACTAGGTTTGTCATCATATGTTCATTCTGTATATGCTACATGCATATCACAGAATGAACACATCACTTTCTCCCACAAGTCCTGTTGGCCAGAATTCCCCATGGGCATGGTTGCATGACTGCACCTTCCCTTTCTTATTCCTTATCTAGTCTCTGAACTTTAATGCCTTTAATCTTACCATTTCATCTCTTGAGGAATTTTAGGTCTTTGTAACTCTATATGGAAAATTTGGAACCACTGGTGTATTGGTAACTTAGTTAATATATGTTATTATTCTAATGAAGTAAAGAAAAATCTGCTAAATACAAAAGAAATGGGCAAGAGGCCTTAAGACCCACAGAAATTATCATGTATTTTTATGTTTGAACATGTCCTTATCCATGAATTGCCAGCCCTTCAAAATGAATTACTTTCATTTAGACCTCCTAGACTTAGTAGCCTCCCTCTCAGTTCTGGCTTCTGAGTTATAGGCCCAGTAATGACTGATGTTCTTGAGGTCTAGTGTTCATCCACCTCCAGATGTTCATGGTACCACTTCAGGGACAGTCTTGAAATGATTCTTCAGAAAAGTGTGAATCTTCAGACATCTGCCATGACTGTTTCAGGGACTAGAAGATACACTCAGCCTCTGCTAACCATTACAGTAAACCTCAGTGTACAAGTAATAGGAGGCACAGCTTTCCCTCCTCTTTTCTGTTTAACTCAGGTCTGCCCATCCTCTCTGCCAGTCCCTGTTGCTCCCGAAAGTCTACATTCTGTGTCCCAGATTCTGTGCCCCAACTCTGCATTCTGGTCTCCTAGACCTTGTTGGCAGGTGCATCTAGCACTGTTTCAGTTTCTTCACTTACATCAGCACATTCTGGATTCTACCTGCTGTATAGTCTCTCTGACTTCTTATTTTCCTAAAGTTTGTTTTTATTTCCCTCTCCTGGAGTAATCAGGCCATCTGCTTTCAGTTCATCTTAGCCCCTTTGCCCAATCCTTTCCATAGATTCTTAATTCATATCTGATTGTTAGTAATTAATATCTTACCCATGAAAATCCCTTTTTGTTACAAGGTTTCTTAAACTTATGATAGATTATACTGCTCTGCTAAAACTGAGTCTTTGCTCACAGTACAGATATCATACTGAATGCTGTAGCTTAGGTTCTTTTGAGCTCAACATGCCTATGACTATGCCTATGCTACAGTGTGCCTGCTGACGACTCCATTTGCCTACTGTTTCTCCATGGGGACTACTGTTCTTTCCTGCCTTTGAACAGCTGGCTGTGACCTCATTGGCCCTTACTCTGTACTAATGCCTCATTTACATACCTCATTGCCTCTAGTATTTTCTCATAGCCATGTCAATTAGAATCGTACATTTAACACCTATGTGATAGAGAAGCCACATGTAAATGTGGGCACTAAAATTAGGGCAATTCTCAGATATAACATATTCCTACAGATTATCTAAACAGGCTTATTTTCTTTAGATTGTCCAAAAAATGAAAGCAGAGTTTTAAAAATTACTGCAGGCACTGATATACTTCTAGTAAGTACTTCTAGTAAATATCCCAAGCTGAGAAACATTACCCTAGTGATTTTCTTTACAATATTTAAAAGGCTCTTTTAAAGTTTACCACAGAAACCTCTGCCTCTTCTTGTCTTGGAGTAACTCCTGAATTCAGTCACTTGTTGATGAAAGGAGCTTTTTGCTATGTGGGTAAATGTGAACATTTCTACTGACTAGTTCTGAGAGTGGTGGTGGGGGTATGGGACCAGGAGTGTTTAGTGGTCAGGCAAGGAATCCCAGAAAACTAGGTGTTGCTCTGCATCTGACAGAGCCAGTAGGTGCAGAGATGACTCAAACCTCCAACCCAAGCAGCTGATGCACAACTTTGCCAAGGAAATCCTGATGCTTACTCACAGAGGGCATCACTGACTTCTCTTCTGCAGCCTCCCAGCTGTTGGACAACATTCTGGTATGGCAGAGTGATTTGCAGGTGGAAGGCAAAAGACCAAGCTAGTTCCTGGTTCCACTCTTTATAAGTTATATTATCTGGGCAATGGTTTTCAATAACATTAAAATCACTTGAGGGCCTTTAGAAACTACTAGTGCCAGTAGACTCCAAGCCCATAGCTTCTGATCTAATAGTTTAGGTGAGGACCAAGTGGCAGTATTTTAAAAAGCATTACAGGCAATTCTAATGTGCAGCCTCAGTAAGAATGATTGATCTAGGTTAAGTCATTTAACCTTTCTGAACCTCAGCTTTCTTTATGTATAAAATAAATAGAGCTAGATGGTATCTAAAGACCCTTTCAACGTAGAGATTATGGAGCTTGAATAGCACTGCATGGTTTATAAAGCAGTTTTACACAACAACTTTATGAGACAGAAAGATCAACTATTATTTCTGTTCATGGATGTGAAAACAAAGGTTTTGGTGGTTAAGTGACCTGATTCAGCCTCGAGGCCAGCAAGAACCAGGACTAGAACCTGACCTTCTGATTCCCTGTACATTATTTTCTGTATCTATAATGGCATGAGAGAGGCACACATTCCTTTCATTAGAAACAGGTTGCTCTGAACTAAAAGATCACACAGTATCATCTAACCACCTTTATGAATGTATACAAAGCCTTAGTCATGTGCAGCAACTATTTCCCACTTCCACAGGAAAAATGCCTTTCTGTGATACAATGGCAGTATGAAAATCATAAGAATCATAAGAATGGCAATGACAGTTTATTTTTGTAAATACTCAGCAGTGAATTACTACAGATGAAATGTAGGCTGCTATTTTCAGCAGTGATTCAAGGAACACTAGACAGATCTCTTCTGCAAACATACTTCCCATCCGGACGCCTCGCTGTATTTCCACTCTTTCCACTCCTTTGGATTTAGTGTTGACTTTTTTCTGTGGTTACACTCACCCCCTCCCCGCAACATACTTTTTAAGAAAAAGTCCTCTCACAATCGTGATTAGGAATATCAAGATATGGAAAGGTTGGGGTGAGAGCATAGAAACTGCTGGAAATGGTTCATCTGGACAGATAGACAGCCTCATTCAGTCAATTACACTCTCAATGTGTCCTAAACGTCCTATGAACCCAGCTTCTACTCAGCTACATTTTAGAACAGAAAGAAGAAGGAAATGGTTAGAGATGTGGACCTCTTTTAAAAAACAAATATCCAGGAGTTTTGAATCCTGAAAATATAAATAATGTGAAGGTCCTTTTCTTGCCTTTAGCTACACAGAGTGTTGGGAGTGTGAAAAAACAAGAGTCTGGAATGCTGAGGTTGGTACCATGAAGGTATTTCACCTGCATCATCATTTCCATAGAAACAGCTTTTCCAAGGCAGTTTTTGCACTTTGAAACTACTCTCTGTCTTATATTCTGAATTCATAAAGAAATATTTTATTTGGGAAACATTTTTATTTTCTTAGTCACAATGTATTTTGTGTTACAATGAATTTAAAAGAAAACCTACAGTTTTTCATTGGTTTCTTTGCGCTTTTTCCACCCTGAGATAAAAAGCAATTATTCTTTCCTCCTTCTCCTCTTGGAGCAGTGAAACTTTGTTAAGACTGACTTCTTAAACCTTGTAATAGAATTAAAGTAGTCATTTGATCATCCATTAACAGATTTTTTTTTCTTCCTTTTTTTATTTATTTTGTTGTTGTTGTTGTTGTTTTTGAGCCAGAGTCTCACTCTGTTGCCCAGGCTGGAGTGCAATGGCCCAGTCTCGGCTCACTGCAGCATCGGCCTCCTAGGTTCAAGTGATTCTCCTGCCACAGCCTCCCAAGTAGTTGGGACTATAGGTATGCACAACCATGCCCAGCTAATTTTTTTTTAATTTTATTATTATTTTTTAAATTATACTTTAAATTCTGGGATACATGTGCAGAGCATGCAGGTTTGTTACATAGGTATACATATGCCATGGTGGTTTGCTGTGCCCATCAGCCCATCATCTACATTAGGTATTTTTCCTAATGCTATCCCTACCCTAGCTCCCCACCTCCTGACAGGCCCTGGTGTATGATATTCCCCTCCTTGTGTCCATGTGTTCTCATTGTTCAGCTTCCACTTATGAGTGAGAACGTGCAGTGTTTCGTTTTCGGTTCCTGTGTTAGTTTGCTGAGAATGATGGCTTGTAGCTTTATCCATGTCCTTGCAAAGGACATGAATGCATCCTTTTTATGGCTACATAGTATTCCATGGTGTATATGTGCCACATTTTCTTTATACAGTCTTATCTCTCAGCATTTGGGTTCATTCCAAGTCGTTGCTATTGTGAGCAGTGCTGCAATAAACATACATGTGCATGTGTCTTTATAGTAGATTGATTTATAATGCTTTGGGTATATACCCAGTAATGGCATTTCTGGGTTAAATGGTATTTCTGGTTCTAGTTTCTTCAGGAATAGCCCCACTGTCTTCCACAATGGTTGAACTAATTTACAATCCCACCAACACTGTAAAAGTGTCCCTATTTCTCCACATCCTCTCCAGCATCTGTTGTCTCCTGAGTTTTAACGATCCCCATTCTAACTGGAGTGAGATGGTATCTCATTGTGGTTTTGATTTGCATTTCTAATGACCAGTGACAGTGAGCTTTTTTCATGTTTATTGGCCACATAAATGTCTTCTTTTGAGAAGTGTCTGTTCATATCCTCTACCCACTTTTTGATGAGTTTGTTTGGTTTTTTTTCTTGTAAATTTGTTTAAGTTCTTTGTAGATTCTGGATATTAGCCTTTTGTCAGATGGATAGATTGCAAAAATTTTCTCCCATTTTGTAGGTTGCTTGTTCACTGTGATAATAGTTTCTTTTGCTGTACAGAAGCTCTTTAGTTTAATTAGATCCCATTTGTCAATTTTGGCTTTTGTTGCCATTGCTTTTGGTGTTTTAGTCATGAAGTCCTTGCCTATGCCTATGTCTTGAATGGTATTGCCTAGGTTTTTA